TGAGAACGCTGGGCCCCGAAGGGGATAAGGGCATGGAAACCTCTATAGGGGGTGGACATGAGGCGATATGCCAGCAAGAACACTCGGCTCCGAAGGGGGGTGGATTGGGGGGTCCCACATTGATTGGAGAAAGGAACGAGTGCTAGCGAGGATGCTGGGCCCTGAAGGGGATAAGGTGTGGAATCCTCTATAAGGGGTGTACATGAGGCGGTGTGCCAGCAAGAACGCTGGGCCCTGAAGGGGGTGGATTGGGGGGTCCTGCATCGATTGGAGAAGAGAACGAGTGCCAGCGAAGACACAGAGGATAAGGGTGTGGAAACCTCTTGAAAGGGGGGTGAATTGTGAGATCCCACATCGGTTGGGGAGGAGAACGAAACGTTCTTTATAAGGGTGTGGAAACCTCTCCCTAGTAGACGCGTTTTAAAAACTTTGAGGGGAATCCCGAAAGAGGATAATATCTACTAGTGGTGGGCTTAGGCCGTGTTAATAATTAGTTTTTCGTTTTCAATTGTTCTGTTAGTTAGTTTCGCTGCAACATGAACAGGATTATGGCCACCAATTATTACACAAATTATTGTGGGTCTCTGCATATATGATTGACATACAAACACCTCAGTTCAAATCCTAATCAAATCACTATCATGTGAAGAAAAGAAGGTAAAAAAGGGAAAAGAGAGGTTAAATCAATACTTTTACTGAAACCCTTCGAACTTTTTTACTGTTGTTTGGCTAGCTGCTATAGGATTTAGACCATTCATCTCTTGGTCAAACCATTACCTTCTAAGACACCGTTAAAGTATCCATATCACCTGACTTCGACGAGATCGATCTTTATCGTAGTAAGGCTAGTTTTGAGGCAACATCTTTCTGGTAGCGGGTTTTTATCGACCATCTGTTATTGATGATGGGTCCTTTTAACTTGAACTAGTAAAGTTTTCTTTTCTGTTTGTTGGTTGCTGTTGTCTGCTAACAGTGCTACCTTCAAAGATGGTTACTAGTTTGGGCTTGAACAAGCTATTTGGTTGACGTGTCATCTGCTTGAGATGTTTGGTAATATTTGATTTTTGATATCGTAACTGTGAGATTCCACGTCGGTTGGAGAGGGGAATGAAACATTGCTTATAAGGGTGTGGAAACTTCTCCCTAGCAGACGTGTTCTGGCTGATGGCGATATGTAACGGGTCAAAGCAAACAATATCTACTAGCCGTGGGCTTGGAATGTTACAAATGGTATTAGAGTTAGACACCAGGCGGTGTGCCAACGAGGATGTTGGGCTCTCAAGGGGGTGGATTGTGGATTGTTAGACCCTACATCAGTTGGAGAGGAGATTGAAACATTTCTTATAAGGGTTTGGAACCTCTCCCTAGTATATGTATTTTAAAACCGTGAGGTTGATGGCGATACGTAATGGGCCAATACGGACAATATCTACTAGTGGTGGGCTTGGGGCTGTTACAAATAGTATCGGAGCTAGACACTAGGCGGTGTGCTAGTGAGGACGTTGGACCCTCAAGGGGGGTGAATTGTGAGATCTCACATATGGAGAGAGAACGAAACATTCCTTATAAGGGTGTGGAAATCTCTCCCTAGTATACACGTTTTAAAACTGTGAGGCTGATGGCGATACGTAACGAGCCAAAACGGATAATATCGGCTAGTGGTGGACTTGGTCTGTTACATTAATAATCTTAGTTCACACTCGACGAATATGCTACACGGATATAACTTTGTTCACATTTTAATAGCTTTTTTGGCATCCCAGATTCTACATGTACCGTGCTTGTACTTTCTGTATTTTCTGTATTCTCTCGTACGTTTTATACCTGAAGTCATCAATATAAACCTTTAGCCAATATTTCTACTGCATTTTCTTTCTCCGGTTCTTTGTGTTCATCTAGATTGAGTGTGTGTTGTTGTGCGAAGTAAAACATCAAAATGTTAATAGTTCAATGCTTTTGCAGACGTCGAAGTCCCGGTCGCTTGTGTCATATTAGTAATCCTATTTGCACTTCAACATTATGGAACCCATCGAGTCGGGTTTCTGTTCGCACCAGTTGTAATTACCTGGCTCGTGTGTATAAGTTCGATAGGGCTGTACAATATCTTCTACTGGAATCCCCATGTTTATCAAGCACTCTCCCCATATTATATGTACAAATTTTTGAAGAAGACCCAAAGGGGAGGTTGGATGTCCCTGGGCGGCATCCTGTTATGTATGACAGGTAATGAGAGTGGCTCAACCCACTGCATTTTTCTCCTAGCCAATCCGTTGTCCTCGAGTTATCTAAACTGACCTGTTCGATATTCAGGTTCGGAAGCAATGTTCGCTGATCTCGGCCACTTCTCGCAGCTATCTATCAAGGTCATTTTTATACTCGCAGAAATTTTGAACATGAGTCCTTAGTTTAAGACGATTACATACTAAAAGTTCTCTCGAGTTCATATATGCTTATGATCGTTTTTTTGATACTCGAATCTCAGTCGTGTATAAAGTTATCTGATGATGTTATTCAAGCTATTATTGGTTGAAACTCCGAGCGTTTTTCTAATAGAAAGCTGTTCTACTGCAGATTGCGTTTTCTTTTGTGGTTTATCCAGCTTTGGTATTGGCATACATGGGACAAGCTGCTTATCTTTCTCAACATCACGGTGAAGAAAGTAACTATCGAATCGGATTTTACGTGTCGGTTCCTGGTAGGTGACAATTTGGTGCATATGAGACAAGTGAATGAACATACTTGAAATGTCGAATGAGTTCAACTTTGTATTTTTATGTTTCAGAGAAAATAAGATGGCCTGTACTTGTGATAGCCATTTTAGCTGCAGTGGTCGGAAGTCAAGCTGTCATTACCGGGACGTTTTCGATAATAAAACAGTGCTCTGCGTTAGGCTGCTTCCCAAGGGTCAAAATTGTTCATACCTCGTCGAAAGTCCACGGCCAGATTTACATTCCGGAGATCAACTGGACTTTGATGATCCTGTGCTTGGCTATTACTGGTGGCTTTCGAGACACGAAACGAATGGGGAATGCATCAGGTATACTCTCTGCACGACTCGTGGTTATGGCTGTTTGATGATTTTTCATGAGTAAAACTGATCGTTATGTCATTGTTACTGACAGGTTTAGCGGTAATAACCGTTATGCTAGTGACTACCTGCCTAATGTCTGTAGTCATCATCTTGTGCTGGAACAAAAGCTTTCTCTTTGCCATTGCCTTCATACTCATTTTCGGGTTCATCGAATCACTCTACTTCTCGGCATCTCTCATCAAGTTTCAAGAAGGGGCGTGGGTTCCCATTGCCCTCTCGCTCATCTTCCTACTAGTCATGTACGTATGGCAATACGGAACGCACAAGAAATACGAGTATGATGTTCAAAACAAAGTCTCAATCAACTGGCTCCTAGGCTTAGGTCCAAGTTTAGGCATTGTCCGAGTACGCGGCATTGGTCTTATATACACTGAGCTAGTCTCAGGTATCCCCGCCATCTTCTCCCACTTTGTAACAAACCTCCCCGCCTTCCACCAAGTCCTAGTCTTCCTCTGTGTAAAATCTGTCCCCGTCCCACACGTGAGACCAGGAGAGAGATTCCTCGTAGGAAGAGTTGGACCAAAGGAGTACCGTCTGTATCGATGCATAGCACGATATGGATACCGCGACATCCACAAGGATGGTATCGAGTTCGAGAAGGACCTAGTGTGTAGCATTGCGGAGTTCATCAGGTCGGAGAAGGCGGAAACAAACATGAAGGTAGAAGATTTGGAAGAGAGCGAGAGAATGACGGTGGTGGGAACGTCGTCGACACACGTAGACGGAGTGCGAATGTGTGACGATGAAGGAGGAGGAGGAGGAGGAGGAGGAGAGACATCAGAGGTGAGGGAGATAAAGTCACCACAAAAAGTGAGGAAAAGAGTGAGGTTTGTTGTGCCTGAGAGCCCACAAATGGATGTGGAGGCAAGGAGAGAGCTGGAAGAGCTAATGGAAGCAAGAGAGGCAGGCATGGCTTTCATTATGGGACATTCATATGTGAAAGCAAAGAGAGGGTCAGGTTGGGTGAAGAAAATGGTGATAAATTATGGGTATGATTTCTTGAGAAGGAACTCAAGAGGGCCATCTTATGCTTGGACTGTGCCTCATGCATCTACTTTAGAGGTTGGGATGATCTACCAAGTTTGATTACCCTAAACCCTCTCTTTGTATATAATAAAACCATTTTTGTCTAATCCTTTCTTTTCTTAATAAAAATAAATTTTGGTCGATGAAATTCGTTCATATTTTTTTTCGAAAATACCGTTTATACCCTTTTTACTGAACGATGATTGATTCCGTCCCTACTCAAAGCGAAAGGAAGGTAGTGCCCTCGATTGTTTTAGAGTCAAGGATCATGGTGTACCAGAACCGTGACATCGAACAGTAGCATCTCCTTGAATGCGAGAGGCAACTATGTTAGTTGTTATTTTCGGCTCTATTATGAAAGAAGGTAGCTCGCCTAATGCGGGATTTGGGCCATCCTTTCTCTCCTCCACCCGTGTAGAGGAGTTTTGATTTACCTCTACACATATTTTTTAGACTAACTTTCAAAAGTTTAATTAATATTTTTTAACTTTTTAAAAAATTTTAAAAACACGGTTAAACTTTTTTTTGTTAGAAGTTCAAAGCGACTCTTATTATTAGTAATATGAACAAGACCGTCACTATCACATTTAAAAAAATATTGATGAACTTTCAGAAGTAATATTAATACTTTTAAATTATTTTTTTTTTTAAAAAAAGTTGGAGATGATGCACGAGATGTGATAGATGATTTTTGTTGATCAAGTTAGGTTTAGTTGATGGAGTTTTTGGGTTGAAGAGTCTTTTAAACACTCGTATAATAAAGATTTGTCAATTTTAGATAAAATAATAATTATTAATAAAAATTTGCCAATTTTAATAAAGGATTTATCATCTTAAAATATTTTGAATATTTTGTTGAATTAAAAGAAGGAAGAAAAGAATAAAAATTTGACAATATACATAAGTATTTAAAATTTAAGCCATAAAACTAATTACATCGACGACGTCGTTTCGGCCGCCAAAATTTTAACTGTCCTACTGGGAAATTGGCATGGACTATAAATAAGACAGAGTTCCCGGCGATTGGCGGCAACGACGGACTGAAACCAGAAGTCTCGAGGTCAAGGGATCAACAAAAATGGGAGTTCACGGTCTTTGGGAGCTTTTGGCTCCCGTCGGCCGACGTGTATCCGTTGAAACCCTAGCCGGGAAGAAACTGGCGATCGGTACAAACATCTCTCTCTTTCTCTTCTCTGAATTGTTTTAAGAAAAATTCATTGTTGATGAAGTTTCTTTTTTGGTTTATTTTTCTGTTGAAGATGCGAGCATTTGGATGGTACAGTTCATAAAGGCAATGCGTGATGATAGAGGAGAAATGGTCCGAAACGCTCATTTACTCGGTTTCTTTCGACGGATTTGTAAACTTCTATTCTTGCGGACTAAGCCTGTTTTCGTCTTCGATGGTGCAACCCCGTCTCTCAAGCGCCGGACTCTGATTGCTCGCCGTAGGCAGCGTGAGAACGCCCAGGCTAAAGTTCGTAAGACTGCCGAGAAATTGCTTCTCAATCATGTGAGTTTAGTTTCCGGTCCTTTTCGAGTGTTTTTGGAGTTCTGTGCTGGAAATTTGTCTATTCGCCTACAGAAATTATTGTGCTTATGTTTCGAAATTTTTTCCAGTAGAATTAAGAAGCGTCTGTTTTTTCAATGGGTGGCGTTTGATTAGACGGAAGTATTTCAAGCTCATTTACATCATTTTGCAGTCCAAAATTAAATGGAATTTCATTTCACATTGCTTGTCGTATTAGAAATCCTACTGGATAGTGGCGATTCTAAATTTTAGTGATGTCGTTGGATGTATGCCATTTTACTCTTCCAGCAATACATAGAAGCAGATCACTACCCGCTTCTCAGATAGCTTTTGTTCGGTTGGAAACTTAAACCTTCATCTCAACAAAGACGTTTAATTATGATTGTATTCCCCGTAAATAAATAGTAATGAAAAAAGTTTGTGGTTTTATTTTTCATTTTTCATGTGACTGATCAATTTGTTGTTGGATCTATTTTTTTTTTTTTATATTTAATTAAATTCCTAGTTGCAACTTGCAATTGTGTGTAAAGTCTTGAACTATTCTACCTATTGGTTAATAGCTCAAGGAAATGAGGTTGAGAGAACTGGCTGAGGGTATAAAGAACCAGAAACAGCAGAGGAAGCAGGATGTTCCAAAAAAGAAGACCTTACTGAACCATAACGCAATTGTTGATGGTACTTCTATTTCAGAAAGGAGCAAAAGCGTCCCAAACAGTGGCAATCATGAAAATCTAGATGGAATGTGAGATAAGTCTTGTGAATACAGATGCAATATGTAAATACTTGGAAGAATGTCATGTGACAGGTTTTTTTTGTTGATCAATTAGGGTGGCAGCATCAATTATGATCGAGGAGAATGGGTTTTTCTCGAGTAGTGCCCCCTCTTTTGTTGGTGTCACTCTTCCCAAAGAGGACAGAGGTGAACAGTCAACTTGGGTAAGTTTGCTGCCTGTGTGCATCAATAAGCTTCAAGATTGGGTCTAGTATTTCTTTTCCATAAATTGGAAGGTGAAAGACGAGAGTCCTGACAAACAGGATGTTGGATCCAGAACCAGAAGTACAAGAATGACTCAAAGGGCAAGAAGATTTTGTCAGATGAAATTCATGTAGTGGGAAGTGATTCAGAAAGGATGGAAGTGGCCTCAAGAAGTGCCCATCAGCAAAATTTAGATGAGATGTAAGGTGCACTTACACTTGGGTTATATCTTTATTGTCAATGTCTTATGTTGATCACATTCTTTCTGCTGTCATTATTCTAGGTTGGCAGCATCTATTGCAGCAGAGGAAGCTAGAGGTTTGAATGAAAATGTATCAGTATCTTCTGCTTCGTATCTGGCAGGTGAAGATATGGATGATGAAGATGAAGATGAAGAGATGATATTGGTATGCTGTCCCTGACTGATTTCTGTTCATATGATTTTTAATCAACAAATTGTTCTTTACCACAGTGGCTTTCTTAAATTATTTTCTCATATTCACGAAGTTAGAAGCTTTAGGAAGCAACCTTCGATGGTGTTTGTGTCATTGGATATCAGTCATAAGTCAGCAGATATGAGGTGCAACAGTGACCTTTACCTGTGAAAATCTGGAGGTTTATAGGATATTTTTCGCTCTTGCACATTTCTTTGTGCAGAATGAAAATACTAACTAAATAATATTACTTTTGAGATTGTGAATCTTTGGCTTACTGGAAATCTAGGAGCCCTCAACTTGTAAGTTATTAATTGTGCCCATCATATTGTTTTTATTTACTTTGCCAGCCTGAAATGCACGGGGTAGTTGATCCTTCTGTATTGGCTGCTCTGCCACCGTCAGTTCAACTTGATCTTCTTGTTCAGGTAAGTTTCAGTATATGGACCTTGGTTGGGTAGTGATGTAACTTCATGCTGGCACATGTTAATGCAAAGTATTCTTGGTGCAGATGAGAGAGAGATTAATGGCAGAAAACAGACAGAAATATCAAAGGGTCAAGAAGGTTGGTTCTGAAATGGTTCAATATACATCTGTCATATATTTTAGAGCCTCATCTACTCTTTTACACACGCACACTAACAAATGCATGTAAGAAATGTACTTTTCATTACCAAAAAGAGAAGAACAAGGGGGAAGATGAGATATCGTTCATACCATAGATTATTGTTTCTTTAGGTAGACTTACTATCCTTTATGATTCCCTTAATTGTTGATGAGATATGGGGTAGTTTTGTGCAAGTGTATTCCATTTCTTTGAAGAAGCTCCGTTGCAGTTTCATTTTTTTTGTTTTGTGTGTACTTCTGTTGCCCCTCTCCTCTAATGACTGTGTCAATGCCATCTTATTAGTTGATTTCATTTTATTATAGGATCCTGCAAAGTTTTCTGAGCTACAGATACAGGCTTATCTTAAAACTGTTGCTTTTCGCCGGGATATTGATCAAGTGCAGAAGGCTGCTTCTGGGAGAGGTGTTGGTGGTGTACAGACATCAAGAATTGCCTCTGAAGCAAACAGGGAATTTATTTTTTCATCATCTTTCACTGGTGATAAACAGTGAGTTGTTTAAACTCTGCCCAAATTCTGTTATTTTAAAAGATCAATGTGCATTATAAAGTAGTTTGGACAGATATTTGAGAGCTGATTTAAGTTGTTCCTTTTCCCTGAAAGCTTGCTTGTTTGGGATTTATAAAATATTTTAGATTCATGAGATGTTTGATTTTCTCAGGGTACTTACATCTACTAGAGCTGAGAAGAACGGAGACAAAGACCTACAGGCACCAAGGGTTCAGCAATCTTTGAGTTCCCTGAATAATACAGACATTCCTAGTACATCCAATGGTCTGGCTCAATCAACCCCTGATAAGTCAGGGGTTTTTGAGGACAATATCGAGACATTTTTGGATGAGAGGGGATGTGTTCGTGTTAGTAGAGTGAGGGCCATGGGGATGCACATGACTCGTGATTTAGAAAGAAACTTGGATTTGATGAAAGAGATTGAGAAGAATATCAATGCAAATAAGGCTGCGAATCCTGAACCCATGCAAAATATTGAAATTTGTAATCCAAAAAGCTCTTCTCTTCGAAGCCAAGTTTTAGATGTTTCAAATGAAGGCGTCGATGAATCCATTAATAAGTTGGATGAGAGAGGTGCAGATTCTATGCTGAATGAAGATACTGCTATCGAAATAGTGCTGGAAGGTGAGGGTGGGAAGTCTTTTGATGGTGATGATGATCTATTTACTCATTTAGCCGCTGAAAATCCCATTCAAATGGCTTCTTTTGACATCTCGTCCCAAAAACTCTCCCAAGATGGTACTACAGATTCTGGTTGGAAGGAAGCACTTGAAGGAACAGTTAGTGATGAGAGTGAAGTCGATTGGGAGGATGGAGTTTGTGATCATGTAAACCCAGTTCCTTTTGAAGATGAATCAGGAAAGTCAGTTTCCAAAGGTTCTTTGGAGGAAGAGGCTGATTTGCAGGAGGCAATAAGAAGAAGTCTGGAGGATGTCGGAGATGGAAAATCTGGCCCTGTATCTCTTGAACATGAGCAACCACAATCACAACCCTCAATTGTTGGAAAAATGGCTGAACGATGTATGAGTTTCGAAAATGAGAATGTGATTGGACTTGAAAAGATGGATAGTGTTGATGGAATGAATTGGTCAAATGCCAAGGATTCTATCTTGAAGAAGGTAATCTCTAGACTCTAGTTTGTAATCTAAAATTCTTTTATGTGAAGCAGTGTCCTTACTTTGAACTGTATATCCAGGGAATGACTGAGAGTTCATCTCAAGAAAAGCAATGTTCAGAACCTGTTGTGTTGTTAGATACCACAATTGCAGAACAGTTGGATGCTTCTTATAAGGATACCTCATTTTCTCTTCAAGTGTCAAATGAAAACAGTGATACTCTTAAGTCCTTATCTAGGGATGCACCTCGTGCTACTCAGGTTGGGGATATGATAAATAGTACAGTGATTGAGCCTGCTTGTCGTATGGTTGAGATGGACGGTGTTAACACTCCTGATGTTGATTCCTCCACAAAAGATTCTGCCTTCGAAAATCATTTCAAGCAGAATTTTCCTGTTGAGAAGCATAGCAGCGATCTTTTGCTCGAAGAAGAAGTTGGAAAAGGACATACAGTTAAAATTAGCAAAGCAGAGGCTGAGGTTACAGAGGATGAATTGAAAAGTAGAATTTCAATTCTTGAGCAAGAACGTCTTAGTCTTGGAGATGAGCAGAAAAGACTTGAGCGTAATGCTGAAGCTGTCAGCAGTGAAATGTTCGCAGAATGTCAGGTCTGTATGGTTGATTTTCATATATTAGTGGGGAAGTCGATTTTGTTAGTTTGATTATTTATTTTATTTTGTTAATACACTTGCAATGGTTTAGTCCCAAGAGTTGAATTTTCTTTTCTTGGGAGGGGGGAAGAAGGCTCGAAGAAATTTGGCTCATGATTTGGTAATTCTTAGAAGTGAAAATGCCTTTTGGGGCGTTTGGGGTGTGAGATACCCTTGGGGTGGATTTGGCTTCCCAAGCCTTACCCACATTTGTTGGAGTAGTAAACTTGAGTTTAATTAGAAAAACTGACGGGGTCAAGCAATTTAGTTGGAAAAACCAACCATGCTCAAACAACAACCTAATTCATGTTCTCCACTCATAGCTTCCTATACATGCACCTAAACAAAGTTTTTCTAAACCCAGGCTCCCTGAGCATTTCACTTAGACCCAGATTTAAGATTTTGAACCTGCACTAAACACCCTTTTGTGATTTGAAAATCCCAGGTAGGCGCTCCTAGGGGATTTAACCCATTAAGTCTTGGTAGTCGGGGATTTTTATTGTCATGACTGATTTCAGCAGTTTGGTGCACTTTTAACTTTTTCTCTTAACTACTACTGTCTCAACTTTCTTTTACTTGATGATAACTAATTAGTACAAATGAAGTCTATTTGCAGTACTATTTGAGTTCCCTCTTTCTGAGAATGGAGATAAAAAAACTAAAAATTTTAATTTATCTGATTCCCTATAGGAATTACTGCAAATGTTTGGCTTACCATATATTATTGCTCCTATGGAAGCGGAAGCTCAATGTGCTTATATGGAACTTGCAAACCTCGTTGATGGAGTGGTGACTGATGACTCTGACGTTTTCTTGTTTGGGGCAAGAAGTGTTTACAAGAATATATTTGATGACCGCAAATATGTTGAGACATATTTTATGAAGGTCTGGATCTGGTAGAGCTGCCTGCTTGTTCTCTCTTTATTATTATTATAATTATTCTTATCTGCATTGTCATGCGGAATTACATTTAATTAATTTTGTTGGTGGTGATAATTTAACCAATATTTTAACTCTTGAATAGTTTATAAGTGGCATAGGTATAAATCAACTTGGGTTTTTCAAAAAGCATGCTTAATTTGGAATGTTTTCCTTGCTTATCTAACTCACCGGCTATTGTTTGTGCGAGTTCTCTGCATCGTTAGGTTTATTATCTGGGAGTGATACACTAATACTGTTTGGTTTAATTGTAGTTTGTGCCTCTCGTTTTTTCTCAACGAAAGTTGAGCGTCTTATAAAAAAAAAATTCTTTGGGAGTGATACAATCAGTTTATCCTTCACTCGGATTGCTCTTCCTGGTGTTTTCTTCTTATTATTACTTTTTTGAATTATACTCCTTTTGTTATCAATTCAAGCTGGGGTGCTTTTTGGTAAGGTTTTGTTGGGTTAAAATTGTGGTTCTCCATCAATTGACTTAGATTTTATTTTATTTATTTATTTATTATTATTATTATTATTTGGGGGGGGGGGGGTTTTTTTT